GGGTTTGAAGCTTACTATACTGCTCCATATACACGAAAGAGATTTATCCGACGACAATGATTAGTGGAGTAGAGGAGGGGGTTGCGGGGGGGGGGGAGGAGGGGGGTTGCGGGGGGGGGAGGAGGGGGTTGCGGGGGGGGGGAGGAGGGGGTTGCGGGGGGGAGGGAGGGGGGGTTGCGGGGGGGGGAGGGGGGGGGGGGGGGGGGAGGGGGGTTGCGGGGGGGGGGGGGGGGGGGGGGGAGGAGGGGGGTTGCGGGGGGGGGGGGGGGGTGGGGGGGGGGGGAAGGGGGGGTTGCGGGGGGGGGAAAGGGGGGAGAGGTGGGGTCTGTGGGGGGGAGGTGTGCGGAAGATGTGCGGGCGGGGGAGGTGTGCGGGCGGGGGAGGGGGCGCGCGGGGGGGGGGGGGGAGAGGTGGGGTGTGGGCGCTTTCAAGTGTTTCCAACAAAAGCCCCGGGGAGGCTGTTGCCGGGTCGCGGGGTACGTTACGTACGTGTGCGGGTCGGTGTGTAGGGAACAGGGAGGAGGTGGGGAGAAGTGGCCGAGTCATACCCAGTGTCGGGTTGGGGGGGACCCGCCGCCCGGACAAAGAGACAACAGGGCCTCAGGCTCGGCTCGAGCGCTCGCTCGGTCGGTCGGTCGGTCCAGACGGGGCAGCGAGCGCGGCCCTCTCCACCGACACCGCGGCGCATCATCATCATCACCACCACCACCGCCATCAATACATAATGATCAGTGATGAAGCGGGAGGAGGGCTCCGCTTCACGGGACACAGCCGAAGCCGTCCGCCCGCCCGAGACACTAGGCCCCAGGCCTGGCCTGGCGACAGGAATGAACGCCGGCGCCTCAGACTAACGGCGACGCGAGGCCTCCCTTTCCCGCCCTCCCCTCCCGCCCCCGCGGACGCCCGTTCCCTTTACCTGCCAGTTGCCGGCGGAGCAGGAGCGCTGACTGCGGCTCCGTCATGTTCACCCGAGGGAGGGAGGGGGGGAAGGGGTAAGAGAGAGAGAGAGAGCGGTGGTGATATATATATATATATGAGGGGGTGAAAAGGGGGGGGAGGGGGAGGAGAGACACCCCGCAAGCGGCCTCTCGCTGAGGGCGGGAGGACGATGGCCGCTGGGTCCGCGCTCGCTTCTCTCGCCTCAACTTTTACCGTGCACTCCGCCGCCAGAGCCCCGCAACCGCGCATGCGCCGCTCACACTAACTTGACGGCCGTCCCGGCCCCGCCTCTCTTTGCTCCGATTGGTCACGTCGCCCGTCGATCGTCACGCCGAGGGCGGGGAAGGAATTGCGCGAGCGCGACGTCGTGCGTCAAGTGTGGTTGACCCGCAACGACTCACCCTGTGACTGTGGTCCCCCTCCCCCTCCCCCAAATTTGGTCGGAAACACACACAGCTCTGCACATTGGTGGCTCAAGTTTCCTCAACTGTCGGCTGATTGCTGGGGAGGGGGGAGGGGGGGGAAGGGGCTGCTGTCAGCTCCCAATGTTGCTGAGAGTTTGCTTTTGTTTTGTCCCCCTGCAGATCGCACCAACTTTGTTTGCAGTTGCGGCCTTTATTTCTACCGCTGCTCTGATTTGAGGTAACGTCAAGGAATAAGGACCCCTCGGAAACAAAACAGTCATAAATTGGTCATTTTCCGACCCGCGGCCGTTTTGTGGGGCAGACGCCGCTGTGCGCAATTGGCCGCCGCGTTTCGCCCACAAATATACGGCCAATTCCCTTTGCAGCCGATTCTGTGAAGCGCTTCATCAAATGCAAGGATTATTATTTCAAAAGCACTTGGCAGGTGATTGCCGTCAATTTGTTCCTGTGTGTCTGTGGGCAAAGGCAGGAGCTGTTTGCCGCACAGGAACCGGCTCCCACACATGATCTTGACGTGGCTTGAACAGTACAGGTGAAAGTTGCAACGCACATTTTCACAGCGCCTTTCACGGCAGGAAGACGTCTCGAAGAGTTTTACACACTTTGAGTTGTAGCATTGTTTGTGGGACCTTCCTGTCTCCAGATTGGCTCCTACATTTGTCGACAAATATGCAACAACAACAACAAGATTACATTTGTATCGCGCCTTTCACGTCGGGAGGACAGCGCTGGACCCCGAGCTAGGGTCAGGGTGGGGAGGGGAAGGAGGGTGACCAATGGCATGGTCGAAGAGGAGGGTCTTGAGGCGGGACTTGAAGGAGGGGGCGAGGCAGAGTGATTGGGGGATGGAGTTCCAGAAGTTGGAGAAAATGGTCACTGCAGTCACTACTCCTGACACCAATTGCTTGTGAGACATTTGGACAATAAAGAGCTCCTCCAGGAGGCGACTGTCCAGCGTCTTGGGACATCCTCCCGATGTTTCATAGATTCATAGATTCATAGAATGTTATGGCACAGAAGGAGGCCATTCGGCCCATCGAGTCTGTGCGGCTCTTTGACAGAGCGTCACTTTCACTAACCCCAATCACCAGCTTTCTCCCCATAACCCCACAAACCCGTCTTCCCCAGATACCTATCCAGTTCTCTCTTAAAAGCTGTTATTGAATCGGACTTCACTGCCCTATCAGCAGATCATTCCAAATTCCAACAACTCGCTGAGTGAAAACATTTCTTCTAACCTCCCCTCTGCTTCTTTTGGTAAATATCTTAAGACTGTGACCACGGGTCACAGACACACCTACCAGCGGAAACAGCTTGTCCTTATCTATCCTGTCGAAACCTTTCATGATCTTGAAGACCTCTATCAGGTCCCCACGTAACCTTCTCTGCTCTAATGGGAAAAGTCCTAACTTCTCCACTGTCCTCATAGCTAAGGTTCCCCATTCCTGGTATTATTCCAGGAATGGGGAATGGGGAAAGACACTATACAAATGTAATTCTGTTGTTGTTGTTGTACATTGGAGTGTCAGCCTGGACTGTCGGCTCAAGAATTTCTTAGGCAATCCTTGAGATGTTAACCTTTAGTGTGTAAATTAGTATCTTGGCAATACCCTGATGTTTTGTAATGTGAGCTATATCATACTAGTAAACAGCATCATGTGAGTGGTGCCATTTTCTACAAGAGGCAACATTAAAAGGGCAATATAATAAAATGGTAATGGTGCTGTTTGCCGGCACCAAACACGACAATACCAAACATGGCTTTGCTCATTGGGTTGAGAGCACGTCTATGAGTCACATTTTTCAGCCAGCCAGTTGACCATCACAGTATCACTGAGCAGGTTTGGAAAAGCCCCTTTGACTCTTCCTTCCAGTACACAAATCCAATCAGCTTTCTATTGGAGCATCAAGCTGTTATTAAATGAGTCCAGCATCCTGGCCTTTGGCAACCAATTTCCAGCTGTAGATGATAATAATAATTCTTACATTTGATCAGATGGGATCTCAGTTAAACGTCTCATCTTGAAGAATGACACAGCACACCACAGCACTGGGCTAGATTGCTCTGTGTGTAAATAAACACACAGACGATAAAACTGCAGCAAAACTAAATGTTTGAGATATGCTTTCCGTAAGAGGAAAATCAGAACCACTGGATCGAGAACCCAATCGATCACTGGCGAGTGTGAGATAAAATTGTCTTACAGTCCCTGCATTCAGTTGGAGCTGTATTACTTGGGATCATTGTAGCTCCTCACACAATGAGTTCTGATTTCAGCCGTGCCATCAGGGACTGGACAGGCAGACACTTCCCAACAGGAAGGGAGGCAAAATGGGATGAGGCAGTCAAAACAAAGGAGCAGAGCTGGTGGAGACTGAAGGGCAGGTCTGGTCCTCAACCTGCTGGGTGGGGCATGATGTGCTAATCCAGAGAGGCCAAAAGGGGAAGATACACGACTGACGCTTTCTCTGCCTATCGCTGATCCTTGTCAATGTGGCGCTTCTTGTTTTGACTCCCATCTTTTTCATTCCAGTGGTTATGTGGACATAGTACAGGCCTGTGGTTTGGGAATGTTACTTGATGTGCATTGTGTTTAGTATATTAGCTGCTAACTGTGCCAGATTCTCATCTCAGAGTAGAGCCTTTCTCCCCTTTTTTCGGTGTTTCATTTGAAGACCTTCCTATTCAACCGTGCCAATGGTCACCTCCCCCTCCCCTGGCTTGGAGTCGTGCTTCGCCACTGTCAAGCGCTCTGGGACACTACCCTACATGAGGGACGCTATATAAATGCAGTTTATTTTGAATGCTTCTGTTGTTGTATTTGAAAAATAAATGCAAATAAATGTAAAAAAAACTTTCCCGATGATTCCTTCCTATCTGGTATGACCACTTTTTGTAAACCTATTCCGGGACCACCTATATGTAAAACAAATTCAACTCCTCACAATTGTTGATGTTGGCAGTTACTGACTGGAGAAACATGTTGGGTTAATGGCTGTGTTTCTCTGATGAGTGTATCTCTTTTAGAAGTTTATCGTTCTTGCTCAGTTTGTTGCTAAACTCAAGACAGGGCAAAATGTGGCCCCAGGAACACAATACCTCATCCAGGGACTGCCCCCAGAAATTGGGGACGTATGATCACCTAGTCCATGCACACACACAACCCCCCACCCCCTCACACCCACACCCACACACAAACATACCCACACACATACACAAATACACACACACGTAACTTGTTACTCTTGTGACCTCTTCCCCTCAGAACTTTGGACAGGGCAGGTAAATTGGGCTGAAAGAATTGCCCTTGAGAAGGGCCAGCACTGACACGATGGGCTGAATGGCCTTCTTCTGTGCTGTGCTGTACATTTCTATGGTTCTATTGTATGGTATTCATTCCTGCCTTCCTGCTTTCAGTGCACTTTCCTGCCTTACCAGGAGATGTCACCCACCTCCAATGGAACAATGGTTCATTTCTATGCTGTGTGAATTATTTCATCAAAAGTTCAGATGGACCTTAAAGATCCCGTGACTCTATTCCAAAAGACTGGGGAGCACTGCATTTCCCATTCTCTTACACTATGTTTCGTCCCCAAAACATACAGTGACTACACTTCACAGTATATTCTATGAAGCGTTTCGAGGCGTCTCAAAAGCACTATGTCAAATGTAAGGATTATGATTATTACAGGGTATGGGGAAAGGGCTGTTTCTTACTCCTGACTGACAATCCTCCAATAACATTGGCCACTCTCTGGCTGTTTGTGGGATGTTACTGTGTGCAAATTGGCTGCCGCGTTCTATCTACAAAACACAGTGACTGCACTTCAAAGTAAGCTTCTGAGAATCTCTTTGAAACATCTCGATGATAAAGCCAAGGATTATTATTATTATAATATATAATAATAATAATAATAAGTATTATATACAGAGGAAATGACACAAAATTGGCCATGGCTGGGTCTTGGAAGGAAGGAGCCTGTTTATCACCGACATCTCAAAAAGGATTTGAACCAGAGATAACTTAAAGGGAAATAAAGCAGACTGTGTGTATACGTGATGAGTAAAAAGATATTTTACTCTGGCCACACCGCGTAAACTGTCAGAAGTGTAAACATGAAACATATTGAAGTATTATGGGCGAGTTGGTCTTGACATAAGAATGATTTGTTATGAGATTACATTTTGCTAACTGCATATTTGTACATCTACAACTTTTGCTGTGGTGAAACATGAATGTCAGCATTTTTAATGCATTTGATGTGTACCTACATGTCTTGTGCACTAGTTTGTGGTCGCGTTTTGATCACAAGATACACAATCGCTCCACTTTACAGTGAGGCGCTTTGAGATGTTTCAACGACGTGATAAGATGCTGTAACAAATGTAAGGATTATTATTATTAATAAATTCTAACAATTATCAGTATTACTCTAACATGCTTGATCACAACTGTTGCAACTGTATGAAAATGATCATAGACAGGACATGATGTGGATGTCTTTGTAGTGGAGCAATAGTAGGTCACAAACGCAATATGAATAGACAGAGCGAGAATAGCTATTGCTGGTTGGAACAGACCCAGGAAACAAAACAAGAAGATATCACTTAAAGAGGAAGACACTCTTACAACTTCTTATTCTGTTCTTAGAATTGTTTTTCTGTAGAAGTAATACTGCATTGCCAGAAAATGTTTCCCATTCATCCAACCATCTCTGTAAGTGTGTGATTGTCTTGATGTCTGAATCCATAGACAATTCACAGCAGCAATAGGTAGAGTAAGGAGTGAGGCTGAAGGGAAGAGATGTGGTGTCACAATGTGGCTTTGGAACATACCAATGAACATTTCACGCCCACACTAGTTAAAGAGGAAATACAAAAAAGAAGAATCTTGTCATTTGGAATTTCCTTCCGTTTGCTAAAGATGCAGAATTTTCTATAACTCTGGCATAGAAGCTCTCCGGCCACAATGGACAACAGGAGCACAGGGAGGTCCACCGCAAACCTAATTGAGGAGGACTATGGACCCCTGGGGTCCCAAGTACCCAAGAATGAGGTGCCCCTGATCTCTCCACTCAGATCTTATGTCGCCACCTCAGTCCTCTTCTTTATAAACCTCCTCAACTACATGGATCGTTACCTTATAGCAGGTGGGTTACAGTTACTGCAGTCCTGCCAGCGTCTATCTAGTCTTAGCCTAAGGGACCATCTCTGTCTTAAAATTAAGATTGTCATAATCCTCGCATTTGACACAGAGCCTTTCGCATCAGGAGCATAACTCAAATTGTTTCAGGGGATTTACTATAAAGTGTAATAATAATAATAATCCTTGCATTTTATATAGAGCTTTTCACGTCTTCTAGACGGCTCAAAGCGCTTCACAGAATATGCTGTAAAGTGAATTGACTATATTTGCGGACAAAACGCGGCAGCCAATTGCACGCAGCAGCGTCCCACATACAATCGTGGATTGAAAATGACCAATTTATTATTGTTTTATTTTGGAGGGAGTGTGACTGTGTACCTATGGACAGCCATGAAATGAATGAACAATTTTATCTGGGAGGGGCAGGGAAAAATTCAACTTCTCTTTTGAACCGCGCCTCGGGATCTTTAATGTCCACCTGAACAGGACTCAGACGGGACCTCACTCTCACTTGGAGGACGGCACCTCCAACAACGGAGAGCACCTCCAGAGCCATATTGGCAAGTCAGCGTAGACTGTCAGCTCCAAGTCCCCGACATGGTAAAAAATTCTTAATTCAGTCTTCATTTAAAAATGGCAGAAAACCAGCTTCAAAATGGAGACTGGGGGAGCACTGACTAAGACAAAATGATCTCTGAGCCTCCCATGGCAGTTCTGATCTGAGAGTATTTGTGTTAGCAGCAAGGATGAGAAGAAATAATCAGTGGTTTAATATTTATAGATCTTGATGCCTTTCTGATTGAATCATTAATTTAAGAGAGCAACAAATGGATATATACAGTATATATATATAAAATGGAGTGAAAATCCACCCAGGTCAAAATCGGCTCTGATCATGCAGCATTAAAATAAAAATAAAATTATAACAACGTGGTCACTCAATCCACGACTGTGTATGGAACATAGCTGTGCGCAATTGGCTGCCACAAAATGCACAGTCACTCCACTTTACAGTATATTCTGTGAAGCGCTTTGAGATGTCTCAACGGCATGATAAGGATTAAGATTGACATGATTGTCAAATGCAAGGATCATTATTATTATAACTGTAGCAGTGTACCTTATAGCCTAACTCTTGGATTACTTCCTCAAAGTTCCCATCTCCCTGTCACAGCGTTGCCACTGTTCATGGCTAATGACCCCGGGCTGGTCTCCTTCACATGGCCTCCTCCGTACCCTCATTAGAACCAGTTCTCACCAGGCTCCACTGGTTCTCTATCACAGAACAGGTCGACTTCTAGATCCTCATACTCGTCTACAAATACCTTCACTCCCTGGCACCTCCCTACCCCTCCAACCTGTTTACTCCCACTCCACCACCCGCTGCCTCCTGCTTGTCCCTCATCTCCTCCACTCCACCATCGGTGGCTGCGTTTTCAGCCACTATGCCTTGAAAGTCTGGAACTTACTCCCTCAATCCCTCTGCCTTGCCCCCTCCTTCCCCATTTTGAATTGCCCCTGAAGACCTTCCTCTTTGACTGTACTTACGGTTATCCCACCCCAGCTCGGCGTCAGGCTCCGCAAGTACTAAGTGCTCTGACCCACTACCCTGTGTAAAGGACACTATATAAATGCAAGTTGTAGTCCAGTCATTGCTGTTTGTATTGTGTCCTATGCAGGTGTGTTGAAGGATATACAGAAATACTTTGACATTAATGACAGTTCTTCCGGCTTGTTACAGACAGGTAAGTGATAATTATTGGTTATAACGGGTAGAGTGGTCCTAGCTGGATAAGCAGCGGGAAAACTTGCCAGACATCGCTAATGGCAAGCTATGTGGATTTTGCTGGTTAAACTCTAGCAGTTACCCCAACGCATACTGTGGGGTCCCCAAGCCTTGACTTTCGACAACCTGCACCTAATACTCTGGGTCGAGGTAAACAGGGAGCTTGACGTGACTGGCACAGATTAGCTGCCTGTTTGCCTCTGTAGAATCAATCCCAGGGCCTTGGGATATCTGAAAGGCACTATATAAATGCAATTTGTTGCTGTTTCACTCACAAAACACACAGTCACAGTGTATCCTGTGAAGCGCTTTGAGACGTCTCGAAGATGTGATAAAGCGCTATATCAAATGCAAGGACTATTATTGTTGTTCCCCATTTTTCTCTCTTCATTTCTCTCCCTCTTTTTTTCTCCCTCTCTATCTCTCTCTCGTCTTCACTTGACCTGTGTATTCAGTTTTTATCTTCAGCTACATGTTGTTGGCTCCGCTATTTGGTTACCTGGGTGATCGCTACAACAGGAAGTTGCTGATGTGTGTGGGAATCTTGCTGTGGTGTATCGTGACTCTGGCAAGCTCCTTCATCACCCAGAATGTAGGTTGGCTTCTTTACACGTTCACGCTTTTGCACGTTTACACGTTTATTTTATCAGGCAGATATTGTAGCCTTGAAGAGAGAGTCAAAGTGGAGACGAACAACCACAACTTGCATTTATATAGCGCCCTTTACACAGGGTAGCGTCCCAGAACACTTAACAGTTGTGGAGCCAGACACCGAGCCGGGGGGAGGTAACCATAAGTCCGGTCAAAGAATAAAGTCTTCAGGTGCGATATGAAAATGGGGTAGGAGGGGGCAAGGCAGAGGGATTGAGGGAGAAAGTTCCAAAGTTTTGGGGCACAGTGGTTGAAGCATGGCCACTGACGATGGAGCGGGGGTGGCGGGGAGATTCGGGATGTTCCCAGTGTCGAGTGGATATACAGCTAATGAGAAAGATTGGGCAGGTCGGAGCTTTTCTCTCTGGAGATGAAACAATTGAGAGGGAACCTGATCGAGGGGCTTAAGGCTATGTAAGGTTTTCTCCTGACGTAAGAGGTGCTAAATAAATGTAATTTGTTATTTGTTGTTGTTGTTTCAATACGGTGGATGTTGATGGCTTTTCTCCACTTGTTGGCGAGTCCAAAACACAAGGGCATAAATATAAACCACCAGCCAGTAACAGAGCTAATGGAGAGGTGGGAGAGACAAAAGTCTTCACACTGAGGGCAGTGAGAATGGGCAACTCACTGCCCAAGTTTGGTTGAAGTAAAAAATATTTTTGAAGCGGAAGCTTGATGCATACACAATGGGGGAGGAAATAGAGGGGAACAGGAGTGGGGGCGGGGAGTATAACTAATAATTTCTCCAAAAATAAATGTTGATTCAATCCACGACTGATTGTGGGCACTTCTGTGCACAATTGGCTGCTGCGTTTTGCCCACAAAATTCAATCAATTCACTTTACAGTATATCCTGTCAAGTGCTTTGAGACATCTCGACAATGTGATTAGGTGCTATATCAAGTTCAAGGATTATTATTAACTCAATGTTTGCTGAGGTTTGGGGAGGGGGTATAGTGATGGGTGGGGGCGAGGGCAAGGGGGGAGGGGCTCAGGTTGAGCAGCCCCATAGCTGACACTCACTGTCTGTAGCCTCACACAACGATGAATGGGAAACTGGATGAGATACCAAAACCCCATGTTTATTGCTTCCTGATCAGTATTTCTGGCTGCTGTTGCTGACCAGGGCAATAGTTGGCATCGGGGAGGCCAGTTACTCCACCATCGCTCCCACCATCATCGGGGACTTCTTCGTGGGTACGAAGAGGACATGGATGCTCTCGATATTCTACATCGCAATCCCAGTGGGAAGGTTTGTGGCTCATCGGGGGCTCGTGATGGGTTAGCGATTAGCAGAAGTGCCAATGTGTTAGTGACGGGCTAGTGATGTGTTAGTGTTGCGCTTGTGATGGGCTAGTGATGGGCTAGTGATGGGCAAGTGTTGTGTTCGTGATATGTTAGTGTTGGGTTAGTGATGGGCTAGTAATGTGTTAGTGATGGGCTAGTGTTGGGCTTGTGATGGGCTAGCGATGGGCTAGTGATGCGCAAGTGTTGTGTTCGTGATATGTTAGTGTTGGGTTAGTGATGGGCTAGTGATGTGTTAGTGTTGGGCTAGTGATGGGTTAGTGATGGGTTAGTGAGATGTTAGTCTGTTTGCCTTGTGCGGAGGAGGAGAGGACTAGGTGTGCTCCGTGGAGACTAAGGCTGCCTTGTGTTCTCTCTGGCAGTGGCCTGGGTTATATCATGGCCTCGAGTGTCAACCAGCTGGCAGGAGATTGGCACTGGGCGCTCAGGGTAAGAGACGCTCCTATACTGACTCTCTGATCATACCACTTGATGGCATATTAAACAGGTACAACACAGGACAAACACTGTACAGCACCCTTCATGTCGGGAGGACGTCCCAAGGCACTTAACAGTAATAATAATATGAATCCTTGCATTTGAGACAGCACTTCATCAGGTCTTCTGGACGTCTCAAAATGCTTCACGAAATATACCGTAAAATATGACTGTATATCTTGTGCGACCAAATTATTATAATAATTATTTTTTTAAGGGATTTTTATCACCAGAAAAACGATCCGGCAATCGACTCACAACCGGGATCCTAGTTATTGCTAGGCAAACGGAAGCGTGTTGAGAAAGGAAACTTGCCTAAGGTTTCTCCTAGCCTAGGAATCGAACCCAGGTCCTTTCCCTTGAAGGGCAAGTGCGCTAACCAGTAGGCTACCAAACTCCACTCCAGTAATGGCTTGACGCTACCAGGTACAGTGACATGGGAATGTCAGACAGGTGTTTTCTGAATTTCTCAGGTGACTCCGTGTCTGGGATCTGTGGCTCTGGTCATGCTCATCTTCCTGGTACCCAACCCGACCCGCGGAGCCTCCGAGTGTCCCCAGCCCACGCCGGCGGAGAAGAGCTCCTTCAAAGAGGACCTAAAGTATCTGCTTCACAAGTGGGTGCATAATAATAATAATAATAATGATAATAATAATAACATTCCTTATATTGGTACAATGCCTTCAATTTGGAAGGATTTGTCAAAGCATTTTACAGGATTTACTGTGAAATGGAGTGACTGTGGACATGTAGACAAAGGTGGCAGCACAATTGTGCACATAAGTGTCCCTCAAACAGTCTTGGAATGAGAAACCAATTTTTATTTTGGGGTTTGTTGGCCAGGACACGAGAAAAGAGAAACTCCCTTTTATTTGTGAATAGCGCCGCGGGATCTTTAACATCCACCTGAACAGGCAGACGGGACCTCGGATTAACGTCTCATCTGAAGGACAGCATTTCTGACAATGCAATGCTAGAATCCTTACAACAGCAATAACCCCCTGTGTAGGACGCAGCTCCTTTAACATTAAAGCTCTTCATAGGGAATTACTGTCAAGTGTAGTGACTGTGTATTTGTAGGCAAACGGGTAAGCCAAATTTACGTCCAGAATGTCCAAACCCATTACAGACAAAACGCGAGGCTTCGTGACCAAAGCAACTGGGTGTATTATTCTCAACAGTTCTGTAAAATGGGCAGTAGGGGGTTTGGATGATAATAATAATAATCCTTGCATTTGATATAGCGCTTTTTACGTCTTCTCGACGTCTCAAAGCGCTTCACAGAATATGCTGTAAAGTGAATTGACCGTATATTTGTGGGCGAAACGATAGGAAAGTGAAAGGAAAAGTAGACATCCACCATCGGGAGGATCGGGGTGGGGGGTGGGGAGGGGATGTAGAGTGTGAACGACGGTTCCACAGCACCCCCTGTGGCCATTCAGAGGCTCAACAGGGGCCACGTTCACTACATCATTAAGGGGGTCGTTGTGGGAAATGCAATCAGGAGGGTGTGAAACCCTCGGCAGCGATCCTTAACGAGGGTGTGAGCAGGGGGCAGGCGCGAGAGGGCTGGAGGGGAAATCAGCCCCGATGCCTTTCACCCCCGTGCAGCCGAGATCAGAAGTTCCAGGGGCGTTTTTAAACGTGCAGATGTTTTATGGTTTTTGGCACATTCCCCCACACACGCACACTTACCCATCCCCACCCCACACACAAACACTCTCCCCCTCACCCCCCACACACACTCTCCCCCCCCCACACACACACACTCTCCCCACCCCACTCACCATACACACTCTCCCCACCCCACGCACACACACTCTCCCACCCGCCCGCCACCCCCACACGCACACATATAGATCGACCCCCCAATCGTGAGCACTCTTTTGGGGTGTGCGTGGGGGCGGGAGAGGGGGAATAATAATAACAATAATAATCCTTGCATTTGACATAGCGCCTTATCGCGTTGTTGAGATGCCTCGAAGCGCTTCACAGCCCGGCGTACTGTAAAGCGAATAGGAGAAGCTGCGTGTCTGGGGGGGGAACCAAGGGAGACAGCGAAGCTCTCAACTTGACAGATTCTGCCCAACCTGCAGAATATTACAACACAAAACGAAATACAAAATAACATGTGTAAGACGCCCTTCACGTCGGGAGGACATCCCAAGGCGCTGGAGAATTATATCATATTCTCATATTAGATTTTGGCAAACATTGTAATATTTTGATATATTTCGGCAGTTGGAGGCTGCCCCCCCCCCCCCCCAATTCCTCCCCACACACTCCAGTCAGCGTTGCGATGCTTTTAAAATCTCACCCCACCCGCCAGTCTGACATCTGTCTCTTCTCTTTATGATTTTACTCAGTTGTAGTTTTATCTGGTCGTCCATGGGAACCACGGCTGTGTCCTTTGTGACGGGAGCTCTGGCTTTCTGGACCCCTGTGTACCTGAGTCGGGCTCAACTAGCCCAGGGTCAGCAAGGCGGAGTGGAGTACAGCGACACCAACAGGTAATGGATCCGTGTTCCCAGCGTGCGATAGCCGTGTAGCCAGCGTGTAACAGGGCTTTCTATCCTCGCACTCGTCTACAAGTCCCCTCAGGCCCTGGTACCACCCTAACTCTTTAAGCGCTCCGTGACGCTAACTCCCCGTGAAGGCAACTATATAAACGCAAGCTGTTGTGGTTTACTCCCCGCTCCACCACCAGTCGCCTCCGCTCAGCTGGCTCCAACCTCCTGCATGTCCCTCGTGCCCTCCATTCCAACATCGGCGGCCGCACTTTCAGCCACTACGCCACTCAGACTCCGGAAAGCTCTCCCTCAACCCCTCCGCCTTGCCCCCTCCTTCCCCATTTTCAAATCTTGGCTGAAGATCTTCCTCTTCGACCGTATTGTGAACGACGACAACAACAACAATAAATGACACGTCGGGAAGACATCCCAAAGCGCTGCACAGCGGGTCCCCATCAGGTAGTTAGCGTGAAACAGAGCTTTGTATCTAGTGCGTCATCTGGCGTGTGATACAGTCATCGATGTAGAATGGAATACAGTCTAATTAAGCAAACTCTGTCATCCAACATGTTAATCCTATTCTTGCCTCTGCCCCACGCTGCCCGCAGCCTGATATTCGGAGGGCTGACCTGTGTGACCGGGGTGTTGGGGGTTGTGATCGGGGCAGAGGCCTCCCGGCGGTTAAAGAGCTGGAATCCTCGCATCGACCCCCTGATCTGTGCCTTCGGGATGTTCAGCTCTTCCTCCTGCCTGTACCTCGCCATCGTGCTGGCCAAGATCAGCAGGCCCACCACATTCGTAAGTACAAAGCCCGAAGCTCACCAACACCAGCACAGGGCATCGGAGCAGGGAATGGGATTGGGAAATGGGGAGAGAGCAGGGAATGGGGTTAGAGTAGAGAGCTCCAGTTGGGGAGCGAGCCCCAGCATAGACACCATGGGGAGAGAGAGCAGGGAATGGGGTTTGAGTAGAGAGCTCCAGTGGGAGTGCGAGCCCCAGCACAGACACGATGGACAAAAATTAGTAAACTTTCACCCATAAAATACGCCATCAATCCATAGTCAATATATTCTGTGAAGTGCTTTGGGGCGTCTCAATGACAATATTGCATTTGATACAGTGATAAAGCGCTACATCAAATGCAAGGATTATTATTATTATTATTAAATGTTGAATGATTGATTACTTGAAACTGCATCGCGAGGGCTTGAAGACCCGTTGCCAGAAGAGGGCAGCACTACACAGGGAGAGAGAGCCACAAGGTCGGATGGCTGGTTATTGAAGTGGGTACAGTTTAGAGTAAAACATTGTATGGGGGGGGTGGGGGACACAGGTAAATAAAGCTGGGTCAGTCAGCAGCAGGTTATAGACTAAAGCCCCCACATGTAGACTTGACCTCAAAGGTGACACTGCAGCCCACCACTGAGGGGAGAGTGGGAGGTGCGCTGCAGTGTCAGACTCCCATCTCTGCCTACTCAGGTGGACGTTAAGGATCCTGCGATGCTACAGGATACACAAGAGGGAGTTTCTCCCTCCCCGTGTCCGGGCCGACAATCCCCTAGTTGGTAGTTGGTCAGCAACTCCATGGCTACGTGCGAATTGGTCGCTGCGTCTTTCTTACGAAACACACGGTCACTACATCAACAACAACATCACAAAATTACGTACGTGCGTGCAGCGCCTTTCGCGTCAGGAGGACGTCCCAAGGCGCTGGACAGTCAGTGTTTCGGACCCGAGCTGGGGGTCGGGATTGGGGCTGGTGGAGGGCGGGGGTGGGGGAGGGGGGGGAAAGAGGGTGATCGAAAGCACGGTCAAAGAGGAGGGTCTTGAGATGGGTCTTGAAGGAGGCGAGGGAGGGGGAGCGACATGCGAATGGTGAAGAGCGCGATGTAAATGCAAGTTGTTGTTGGTGTTCTCCTGGAGTTCCACGTTCTGTCTTGATTCACCTCATTCCCCCCCCCTCCCCCTCCACCCCCCCCCTCCCCCTCCACCCCCCCCCCTCCACCCCCCACACACAGATTTTCATCTTCTTCGCCGAGACTTTTATGGCCCTGAACTATGCGATCGTAGCGGACATTCTGTTGGTGAGTAAACAAACCGCTCGCGCTCTCTGACCTCGGACACCAGTGGGAACGCACATTATCCTGTCTGCTTTTTTTTAAACAAAAAGGACGTTATATCATTTCTTGCACTGTCTCTCCCCTTCTCACTCACTCTCTCTCTCTCTGTGTCGCACTCTCCTTGTCGCTCTCGCTTATTGTTTCTCTCATCGCTGGCTCTGTTGCTCTTTTCCTCTCTCTGTGTCTCTCTGTGTCTCTGTCTCTTTCGTTCTCTCCATCTGTCTCTATCTTTATATACGTCGCTCACTTTCTCTACATCTCTCTTTTGCTGTCTCGTTCTTTTTCTCTCTCTCTCGCACAGTAGTGGAGGGCACGGTTCCTGTGACTCAGTCGGGTGTACACTCTGGTAGGGCACATTGTGAAGTAAACCCTTTCGGTTCTCTCGGACAGTATGTGGTAGTTCCCACTCGCCGCTCCATGGCTGAGGCCATACAGATCACTATCTGCCACGCTCTGGGGGACGCTGGCAGCCCTTACCTCATCGGCATAGTAAGTCAACACAATACACAGTCACTACAGTGAAGCGCTTTGAGACGTCCTCCAAATAAAAAAGATTATTATTGTTTACCTAGCAGTAACCTGGTTGTTAGTCGATTGGCGGATCGCTTTCCGGGGATAATAATCCCTCCAAAAAAAAATAATTTAGTCACTCAATCCATGACTGTGGGACGCTGCTGTGTGCAATTGGCTGCCGCGTTTTGCCCACAAAATACACAGCCACTACACTTTACAGTGTATCCCGTGAAGCACTTTGAGACATCTCAACAAAGTGATAAGGTGCTACAACAACTTGGATTTATATAGCGCCCTCCACGCCGGACGGCGTCTCAGAGCGCTTTACAGTTTCGGATCCCGGGACCGAGCCGGGGGGAGGGGGGGGAAGGTGACCGAAGGCGCAGTCGAAAAGAAGGGTCTTCAGCAGAGACCTGAAAATGGGAAGGGAGGGAGCGAGACGAAGGGAGTGAGGAAGGCAGTTCCAGAGCCTCGGGGCATAGTGGCTGAAGGCACGGCCGCCGAGGGTGAAGTGGAGGACTCGGGGGACGCCAGACCCGGAGGAACGAAGGCAACGGGTACTGTGCTGAGGAGAGAGGAGGTCAGAGAGGTCGGGGGGTGCAGAGGAGTGGAGGGATTTGAAGACAAGGGTGAGGATCTTGGTCGATCCTCTCTGGGATAGGCAGCCAATGCAGTCTGGCCAGGACTGGGGGGATCGGGGAGCGGAGTTTGGTGCGGGTGAGAATGCGGGCGGCAGAGTTTTATGGACGGCAGTGGAGGGGAGTCCTCCGAGGAGGGCGTTAGAGTTGTCCAGCCGAGAGGTGTCAAAGGCATGGACCAGGGTTTCAGCGGCTTTTGGGGAGAGGTATTGGCGGAGACGGGCGATGCGTCGGAGGTGGAAGATAGCGGTGCTGGTGAGGGACCGGATGTGGGGGAGGAAGGTGCTGCATCGAATGCAAGGATGTTTATCATTAGTTGATAAAGAAATACTTCCTGGTTTCTCTTGTGAGCTTATCAAGCTCGGGGTAGCTCTGGGACGCTACCCGGCATGAGGTGCGCTAAATAAATGCAAGTTGTTGTTGTTGCCGGGGCAAGTGACTCCATCCCGCTTTTCTGGTTCCAGGTTTCCGATCACATCCAAAGACATAGCCTGAAGTCGACCTATTGGGATTTTGTGAGCCTGGAGTACGCGTTCCTGATCTGCCCCTTTGTGGGGATCCTGGGAGGAGCATTTTTCCTTATGAACGCCCGTCACATCGAGGCCGACCGCCAGCGCGCAGCACAGCACATCCAAGGTGATCACCGCGGAGACCGGCCTCACGGAACAGGGGCATTCGTCGGCTTTAATCCGGGGCAGGGGTGGGGGTGGCTCCCTCACGCACGCTCCCTGACACACTCACACTCGCGCACGCTCTCTGACACACTCACACTCGCGCAAACTCTCTGACACACTCGCGCACTCTCTCTGACCCACTCGCGCACGCTCTCTGACACATGCACTCATGCTCACTCACGCTCTGGACACACTCACTCACGCTCGCTCACGTCCTCTGATACACTTACTCACGCTCGCCCTCTCTCTCTCTCTGGCACACTCAGACTCACACACACTCTGACACACTCACTCTCACAGGGGTGAGCAGCGCGTCACAGGGTTGTCAGGGGAAGAATTGAGATTAAGAGGAATTTGCTCACTCGGAGCAGCCTCCGGGGGTGATATTCACCATCACGTTCTTGACAATCACCGGCTGCACAGCCCTGTGTGTGAGCGTGAACATGTCAGTGCTCCAGTGTGAGTGAGTGTGTCAGAGAGTGAGGATGAGTGTGAGTGAGTGCCTCAGAGCGTTTTAGCATGTGAGCGCCAGAGTGTGTGAGAGCGTTGAGTGTGTGCATCAGAGAGTGTGCGCAGCATGAGTCTGTCAGAGAGTGAGCGTGAGTGAGTGTGTCAGAGAGGGAGCGTGAGTGAGTGTGTCAGAGAGCGAGCGTGAGTGAGTGTGCCAGAGAGCGAGCGTGAGTGAGTGCGTCAGAGAGCGAGCGTGAGTGAGTGAGTGTGCCAGAGAGCGAGCGTGAGTGAGTGTGTCAGAGAGCGAGCGTGAGTGAGTGAGTGTGCCAGAGAGCGAGCGTGAACGAGTGTGCCAGAGAGCGAGCGTGAGCAGGCGATTCTACACATTTGTAGGCAACCGCATTCACCTACAAAATACAGTCACTACACTTCCATGCAGGTGTGAGGTTGCCTCTGGTCAGGGTGGGGGTAAGATGAGGGGTAAGACTGGGGAGTGAGCGAATGAAGCGATTCCCGTCGTGTGTGTCGAACCACGGTCCTGATTAGCGGTGAGCGAGACTCTGACCGCCTTTGGCTCGCAGTGGGAACCGGGATATTCCGGGCGTCTCGTTCCTAAGCAATCGAGCACTTCGTCTAAACAGAATCTGGAGACAGGAAACACTCACCCGTGAAAAGTAAATGGGGGGAAGGGGCGGAGGGAATTATTATTAATAACTCATTGGTGTTTGATACGGAGCAGCAACACACCGCGCAAGGAACGGCTCTCAAGTGTAGTGACGGTGTAGGAACGCAGCATCCGATTTGCAATGAGTTGAGTGAGTGATCGATTATATTGGGGGGGGGGGGGGGCGGGGGATTGTGGAGCAGAAGGTTTGACAGGTCGTATCTGAAGGGTGACGGCCCCAATGACGTTCCCCCCCCACCCACATGCATCACCCCCACACACACACACACACCCTCTGCACACACACCCACACACACCCCCACACACCCCCTCTGCACACATCCCCACACACACACACGCTTTGCACATACACCCACACCACCCCCCCCCACACACACACACACACACCCACACCCCCCCCATACACACACCCACACTCGCCCCCCCACACCCACACACCTCCTCTGCACACACACCCACACACACCCCCACACACACAAAGAACTAGAGCGTCAGCCTAGTCTGTGAGCTCAAAGTCCCCGACGTGGGGCTCGAACCCACGATCTTTCTACCTCTGGGGCAATGAGCCAGGGTTGTGAGCAATGAGCCAGGGTTGTGAGGGGGGGGGGCCGAAGTTAAAAGAGAGAGAGAGAAGTGGGGTGGGGGGGGGGGAGTGAGAGAGAGAGAGTGTGTGAGATCAAGAGAATGAGAGAGAGTGAGAGAGTGAGAGACCCATTCTCAGCCCTGTGTCAGTCACTGTTAATCTACCAAAGTCGCTGGGAACACTCAGCAGGTCGGACAGCATCCATGGAGAGAGGAAAGTGAGTTAACGTTTGAACCTCGGCCTGACCCGCTGAGTGTTCCCAGCCACTTCTGTGGTTATTTCAGATTTCCAGCGTCTGCAGTTTTTTTGCCTAAGGTTAACCTGCCGCTGCGTTTAGGCTGTGATCTCTGTGCTGTGTGTTTCAGACTGTTTCAAACCGTCGGAAGGAGTTTATTCCACCGATGTCTCCCCAAACAACGCCTTGGCCTGAAAACACCCCAAGCTGACAGCGGGCAGGCAGGCGAGTGGGGCACGAGTGGACGAAGTGGGAGAGAGAGAGAGAGAGAGAGAGCCTCTGCAAATGGCCAGGGTTTTCAAACACCCAAATGGTCCAGCTTTAGGAAGAGCTTCAGACTGTGAAGCCCCTGGAGATGGCTCATTCCCGGAAAAACAGGTCCCAACTGCGCACCAGCCCAGAATCCAGACTTTTAATTATTTATAACATAACATGTAGGAGCAGGAGTAGGCCATTCAGCCCTTCGAGCCTGCCCCGCCATTCAATCATGGCTGATCTTCTAATCTAACTCCAGTTAATAACCTGACACTGCCTTATCCCCATATCCCTTAATCCCTTTTGCAATAAGAAATCTATCTATCTCAGTCTTGAATATGTTCAAGGACTGAGCGTCAACAGCCCTTTGGGTAGTGAGTTCCATACATTCACTACCTTTTGAGTGAAGAAGTTCTTCCTCAACTCAGTGCGAAAGGGCTGCCAATTTTAAGGTTGTGACCCCTGGTTTTAGTATCTCCAACCGGGGAAACAATCTCCCACTATCTACTGTATCATGGCCTTTGATGATCTTATAAGATCCCCTCTAATTCTTCTATATTCTAGAGAATATAGCGCCAAATTGGTCAGACTATCCTCGTAACTCATCCCCTTCATCCCTGGTACTAACCGAGTAAATCTACGCTGCACCCCCTCCACGGCAAGTACGTCCTTCCTTAAATAAGGAGACCAACACTGCACACAGTATTCCAGGTGTGGTCTCACCAGAGCCCTATACAGTTGCAGCGAGACTTCCCTACTCTTATACTCTAATCCTTTCATAATGAATGCTAACATACCGTTATCCTTCCTAATTGCTGCTGCACCTGCAGACTAACTTTCTGTGATACAAGGACACCCGAGTCCCTCTGGACACTAACACATTCCAATCTCTCCCCTTCTAAAAAATAACCCGCTCTACTGTTTTTGCTCCCGAGGTGGATGACTTTGCACATTACATTATACTTTATCTGCCACCCACCTGCCCAATCTCCTAACCTATCTATGTCTCGCTGCATTTTTTTACGTCATCCTCTGTGTTGACACCTCCTCCTAATTTTGTGCCATCCGCAAATTTAGATATATTAACTTCGATGTCCTCATCCAGATCTGTCGGGAAATGTGCGATATTCAATCAGCAAATAAAATAGCGTCTCAGGGAGTCGTGTTTGTGGAGTCCCTGTAGCTCAGTGGTTAGAGTACTCGCCTCGCAAGCGAGAGACCTGGGTTCGATTCCCAGCAGCGGGCAAAACCTTGGGCAAATTTCCTTAATCCACACACACACACACACACACGCCTGATAATAATCCCTCAAGAAAAAAAATAATAAATAGGTCACTTCAATCCACGACTGTTTGTGGGACACTGCTGTGCACAATTGGCTGCCGCATTTCACCCACAAAATATACAGTCAATTCACTTTACAGTCTATTCTGTGAAGCGCTTTGAGACGTCTCGAAGACGTGAAAAGCGTTATATCAAATGCAAGGATTATTATTATTATTATTATTATTGCAGAGGGGATTGAAACAGTAAAACCCAGAACAACATGCACAAAGACGGCAGAACAAGAGGACACGGGTTTAGAGTTTCCAAAGAGACAATTCTAGGATAGGCACCAGGAAGTGTTTCTTTTTCCTGGCAGGGGGGACTAGAACAGCATTGCCAAGAAGCGGGGAGCGGGGAGGCTGAGGCCAGCGTCACTGGGACTTGTTTATAAAGCAGCTCAATGCTGTAATGGGGTGGGGGTATGGGGGGGGAAAGGCCGGGTAGGTGCTGAGGAGGGATGAGGGATGAGATCAGATGGACCAAAGGACTCTTTTCATCCTGAACCGATCTCGTGATCCTGTGAAGAGGTGAAGAGGTGCAGGAGGTCCTCAAACCCCAGCCCCCCTGGGGCAACCCCTTGTTCTAGTCGTTAACCCCCCTTCCAGGTAAAACCCTTCCTGGTGTCTGTACAGATGGAGCCAGAAGGGACATGCTGTGCGGCTGAGAGATTGGCAGCCGGCCATTGAGATTCGGGACTTGGGCTACACTCAGTTCCTGGAACCCCCATCAGATGCTGTCAGAAGAGGTTATCAACCTGCCCAGCTGTCCCTGTGCTTCACAGACAAAAGTGTGAAGAAGCTCTTTGCTGTCAGGGTTCAGGCTTTTCTCAGCAACCAGCCACGCAGGGCAAAGCCTCCAGCTCAATAAACAGCTGATTTGCAACCAGGATTCCTGGCAGATGGTTTAGTAATAATAATAATAATAATAATAATCTTTGCATTGATACAGCGTCTTATCCCGCCGTTGACCCGTCTCAAAGCGTTTCTCAGGGTATGCTGTCAAGGGGAGTGACTTTGCATTTTGTGGGCGAAACCCAATTGCGCACAGCAGCGGTCCCCACAAACAGCGGTGGCTGCGAGCAGGGCCCAGGGGGAGCTCGCTTTAACGTCTCACGTGAAGGATGATGAAGCGTTCCCACAGTACCGCCATGGAGCGAGAGTCAGCCTGTGCTGACTCTCCCCCCCACCCCCCCCCCCACCACCACCACCCGACACAACCTCTTGGCCCGGGGGCGAGAGTGGTAGCGATCGAGCCAAGCCGAGAGCGACTGGATTGTGCAGATTCCGGGCGGGCGTCTTTCCCTGAAGATTACTGTCTCTCTAACCGGTACCGAGGGCAACGTGACTGTCCGCAGCCCCTCTCTCTCTCTCCCTCTCTCTGGCCAGGGAGACTCGGAGGCCCCCGCACGCACGCATCACATTTATTTCATTCACACGATGAGACAGGAGTCAGTCAGTCTGTCCGTCCTTCCGTCCCACTGGCCTCTCGTTCCTCTTTCCCTGAAGTGGGCAAGTCGCAATTTTCTCGTGATTCTTTATCTCCCAGCAGCAGGGAGGTTTAACATTGGTGACGTCAGTAAAGCGAGCCTTGTCCGTGCCGCGCCCGCCTGCCCGCCATCGCTCCTCTGCTCATTCTCTCCCCCACCACCCAGCCCCACCAGTCCCCCGACACCCCCCCCCCTCCCCACCTTGGGCTCAGGATCAGCTGTGACCCACTGCCTGCCCCCACCCTGGGATGTGGAAGGCACTGTAACAAACGTGAGGTTATTGTATAAATTGTATAATAATAATAATCCTTGCATTTGATACAGCGCCTGATCACGTCGCTTCACGGGACATATTGCGAATTGAAGTGACTGTATTTTGTGGGCGAAACCAATTGCGCGCAGCTGTGTCCCACAGAGCAGTCGTGGATTGAGTGAACAAATTATCATTATCCCTGGAAAGCGATCCACCAATCAACTAACAACCACTTACTGCTGGGAAAACAGAGGCGTGTGGAGTAAGGAAACTTGCCCAATATTTCGTCCTCCTGGGGAATGGAACCCGGTTCCTCTCGCTTGCGAGGCAAGTGCTCTAATCACTGCGCTGCAGGACTCCAAAAGGGTTCAAACCCCTTTGACGCAGGAAGGTCGGAGCTCCCTGGTCTCGCAGTTTTGGGGGGGGGCTTGGCTCCTGCCCTGGGGCTGCAGGAAGACACTCTGTGATATATTAAATAAATTCCTGCGTTTGATGTAGCGCTTTATCATGTCAGAACATCTCAGCGTTTCACAGGTAATCGCTGACAAGTCCAATGCGGATAAACTGGGATTTGTACATAATTATACTTTTGGATTGACAACCCTGGAGAGAGAGCGAGAGAGGAGCGAGAGAGAGGGGGAGAGAGAGAGGGGGAGGAGGGAGAGGTGAGCACACACACACGCACACACACACACACACACAAATTATCTTTGTGCCAAAATGTTCTGCGTTGGGAAAACTCTGTGTTGTCATGGCTGACGTCTCTCTGGACATGACACATGGGTCCACCGAGCAGGTCATTCCTCCGCCTCACGCCCATTGGGTTATATTTAGCTTCACCCCTTATGGGTTTGTAATACCAAATACCACCCTTTCATCGTTATAATATTTAAACGCAGACACACACCACACCTATTTAGATCCTGCAGGCAGTATCATCATGCGAACATTAATATGTGGCAAACTGCCCATGTGTCTCACACATGTGTATCCTTCACGAGTGAAATGAGATCACAAGAGCGATTGGGGGTGAAGACCCTTTGCCCCCGATCGATTGAGTCCTAATCGTTCCTCATAGCTACAACCCTCCCCCCACACCACCCCATCACTGCGGAGCTTTGTGGGAATGTAAAACATAGTTCCTATAGTCATCGGTGCAACTGGAAATGTTAATAAATCTATTTAGAAATGGCTGACAAGACAAGTGGGGAGATGAGGAGCAATTTTTCTTACACACAGAGAGTTGTCACGATCTGGAATGCACCGCCTGAAAGGCTGGTGGAAACAGATTAAATAACAACTTTCAAAAGGGAATCAGATAGGTACTTGAGGAGGAAACATTTGCAAGGATATGGGGAAAGAGCGGGGGGAGTGGGACTGATTGGGCAGCTCTTCCAAAGAGCCGACCCAGGCACAATGGGCCGAATGGCCTCTTTCTGTGCTGTAAGATTGTATGATTCTTCACCTGGTGAACAGAATGGCCTCCTGCAAGAAGTAGCTATTTTAAGAAGCTCAAATTTACTGCATTAAGAAAAGTAACATCCGTTCATATGTCAAATGACAGTGTTACTGATCTGGCTGACCCATCACTGAAAACCATTTAGAAATTACCTCTACACAGAGGTAATTACCAGTGATTTAAACTGTAATTTAAGGGCTCTGGGATTCTATCTTGCGTGAGGAGCGCTATATAAATGCAAGTGGTAATGTCATCGTAACAATAATAATCTTTGTATTTGATATAGCGCCTTATCACGTCTTCGAGGTGTCCCAAAGTGCTTCACTACATACAACACAACCTCAAACGCAGCTGCAAAACCACTGTGAAAAAAAGGAAAATTACATTTCTGGATCCCATCGACCAGGAAGGTCCATTACATTTGGAGATATAAAAATAATCAGCATCATTTATTCATACGTTCATAAAAGTTATCAATGATTTATGAGGAGCGAGCGCGGAACCCAAGGATTGGTCTCTCTGGGCGCAGGTTTGCTGTAAAGGTTGTGAAGTGAGAAAGAGAGAGAATGGAGAGAAAGAAAAGCAGAGAGAGAGAGAAAAGGAGCAAGAGAGAAGAGAGAAAGAGCGAGAGAGAAAGAGCGAGAGAGAGAGAAAGAG